TTCAATTTCGAGCATACACTTACTTTAATTACACTTATTTTCAAATTCAATTATATTTGTTTCAGAACTATTTTGACACATTTTTGCTCAATCTTTAGAAACGCTTTTCTTGCAGTATACTCTTATTTATAGTGTTTTTTTAAACAGTATAATTTTTAAAAATTAAAAATCAAACGTCTTGTATTTTAATTCACAGGCCATTAATTTTTAATTGATTAGCAATAAAATATAGGAATTATGAATTCGATTAACGTTCGCTACCATTTATTTTTATTTTTATTTACACTCAACTTGTTCAGATTCAAAATTCCGTGCAATTTTTTTTTCTCGTAAATTTTAAAAAAATTTTTCAATTCTATCTTTTGAGAAACTTTTCATTTTTCATATTTCTTTTCATTTATTTTACTGAATATTTCATCATCAAATCTTTGAAAAAATATCCCATCTAATCAATGATTTCGTTATTTTGATGAAGCAATTTTTTCCCTACAATTTCAATAATTTGGAACAAAAAAACTTTTCTTTTAAAAATCTCGGTTTTTTCTGTAACATTTTCGTTACTTGACGCATCTCTTTAATAAATTTTTTTATATACATCGTTCTCATTTTCAAATAATTTTTTTTTCTTTGCTGGGTAATAAATCTAATAATCTTCATTTAAAGCTCGGATAGTTTTAGTTTTAAAAATTAATATTTATGTCAGTAAATAACTCCGTATTCATGGCTTAGATTTTTACGTCTAGCGTTCGTTAAATAAAAATAATCATAGGAAGTAAATATTTTTTAAAAAACGAGTTTTTTTTCTCCTATTTTCTGTTATCAAACGGGGCGTTCATAATTATGCTTTTCTACAAAAGAAATATGATTTCTAAGAGGACCCGCACTTATCATAAAAAATATTTTTTTTATAGAAAAGAATTTTTTCTTCCAATTTCAACCGCTGCTGAGTAATTTTTAAATTTTTTTTTTATCTATGTACATTTAAAAGGAATAAAAGAGGAGTATCTGGAAGGGTTTTTCGTTAGTTCTTTTTTTCGAATTTATTTAATCCAACATTCCCTCCCGCCTCTCTTTTGACAAAGATATGTTTTTAAAGTTCTGCTGATTTAATTCTTGGGGATAAAGGTTCTATTGAAGTTTTGGTTCCAGAACCGTATCTTCTTATTTGCTTTTACTATTTTTTCTCTCTTTATTTTAAGTTTATATAGTTCTGGATATTTGAAGTTGAAATCTTTACTATATATGTAGTATTTTGTTTCGTTTCATTTATTTTCATTGAACAATAAAAGTAACTATAATTGGGTTTCAAGTTCTTCCAGCATTTTTGATTCTAAGCTAAATATTTAAAATTTTTTTAATTAGTTGTGATTAAATAGACTGTTTTAAAAATCAGTTAAATAAATAACTTTTGATTGAATCATTTATATTTTTAGTTTTTCCGTGTAAAGTATTTTTGACATGTCTAACAAATGTGATGTAACTGTCTGTTGAATAAGTAGTTTTTATTCGTCGTTTGAGTATTCTATACATGTATGTATTATGTAGCTTTGTCAGGATATGCTTTTCCTAAATCTATATACATTTTAGTGCTTTTAATGAATCTGAAAAAAAATCATACATTTTTAATTAAATATTTTAATATTTTTTCCAATTCATTATCATATACTTGAGAAATGAAACAATAAACATTTTAAATTGGATTTATCTCAAAAGTTTTTAATTTAGAAAATAGATTATCGAAAATAAGCATTTTTTAAAAATTTTTTTTTTGTTCTTTGCCTTCTAAATATACTAATGATAAGAATGTAATAAATTTAATTTTGAATGACATGTCTGATATTTTTGATACCGCGGATTTTTCTTTAGTATTCTGTTAAAAATAAAATGTTTTCAATGATATATACTGTCATCTAAGCGATTAAATATTCGCATAAAAATAAATTTATGCTTAAATTTATACTATAAATCAGGAATAGAATCTTGGATCTGCCAGATGTGTAAAGAAGTGCCTTAGTTTTCTCAGCTAAAGTGAGAACCGAACAAGTTAAATTATTTGCAACTAAAATAGTTACCGAGAATCGAAAAACTGAAGTGTTGAAGTGCCAGAATACGGAGTAGTTTTAAAAATTCAAAAGTTAAGTTAAAATACAAAAGTTTTTAAAAATTCATAAGTTAAGGGCTGTCTACGAATATCATTATTACTTCAATTGAGGGCATCTTTATGTTCTATATAATTTTGCGTAACTGTTTTTCGGAGATACCTAAGGTGACCAACAATAAAACTTTGATGCCAGGGCTCTGTACAATAGCCAGTGTAATAATTTTAATTTATACCTGCTTTAAACAGCTGACCCTTTTTTGGATTTACGGATTTGAATGGGAATAATTTTTGTAATTTTGAACTCAATCCAAAAGATATGGGAACTCTTGGATGTAAGTATTGGGACAAAAAAAAACAAGCTTTGTGGAGAATGGTAAAACTAACCCGCATTTGTTATACAAGGAGAAGAAAAACCTCTCATGGTTAGCCCGATGGTAAGAGAATTATAACCAAGGGTATCTGCTCTCCAATGCACTTTCAGAAAAAAACTATCCCTTTTGACGATTCGGCAATCTTTGAACTGTATTTTGTTCATTTTGAGAATTATTTCGTAACGAAATCACGTGATTTGTGACGAACTATTGAATCAATGACGAAAATGTTTCTTCAGCTCGGAACCTTTCTGATGGAACTACAACGCATTTGCGTTATACGGAGAAGAAAATCTCCCGCGGTTAGCCTGACGTCAAGGGAACTTTAACCCCTGATCTGTCTACCACTGTGGATATTTTTAAATCAGCACTGTGTTCGGTGTCAGCCGGGCGCAGGGTTCGTATCGACCAGCCATCGCGATTCGAACCCGGTTCACCTCTTTGGAAAGCTAACACTGTGTCCCCTGAGCCAGCACGACTCTGGTGATGATGATTGCAATTTAACAAATATAAATTATAGAAGAAATGGTAGATGTATTTATGCAGTAGTCTAATAGGAAAGTCCTTTGTAATCTGCGGACGTCATTTATTATGGTTTTTTTAGTGAGCTTCGTTGGCCCTTTGCAATGTGACTTATTATTATTATTATTATTATTATTATCCGTAGTTCCACAAAATCCAAAATTATACCAATAGCCTAATAATACCAATGTCATAAACGCGAAAAGAAGACAACATAAATTTGTTTCAGATGAAAAATTACAAGAAATTTGATCCTCATCCCCAAAGTCGGCCTGGTAATTGGGGTGTATATTCAGATCTGCAATAAAATATGAGGGTTCGTATATAAGATGAATTCGTATTAAGATGGGGAGTGAAATAAGGGGGACCGAATTAGATATCATTGAAAGCAAAACATGTTTATTTTTAGAAATTAGTTTTAATACTTCATGGACACCCTGTGCATTTTATCTTACATTAACGCATTTATTCAAATTGTGCATACCTTTTTGCCTTACTGTTTAAAAATTACAAAGTTAAAGCGATGCTTTGCTATAAATCTTGTCTGTTTCTTTTCTGCAGTCTTGTTTTTGAGCATACGAGAATATATTTTCTCTCCTAATAAATTCATATTTCCAAATTTGCAGAAGCAAAACGCTTTCTTTGCAAATAAATATTTAATCCTTCAATAAATCACTCTCCGCTTGATGCTTTTAAAATCTCTGGGAAGTAATTAGAGCTACTTTGTTCGAAATTCTTTAAATTTCACTTTTGCCGTACTTTACGCTACTTTGAAGAGGCTTCTAATCAAAAGAAAAACGGTAATATTCTCCTTAAAATAATATTTCTAAAATTCAAAAAGCCTTTCTAAATTATGAGCCATTAGTTTTAGCAAACAAAGAGAGCCTAGCTTTAAAATTGAGTTATCTATTTTACTTTAGATAACTAAAACGCTTATTCATTATATATTTGTTTATTTATTTATTTTTATTTTTTTATTCTAGTCTTTTGCAAAAATTTATAATCGAAAGGGGAAAAAATATATTGAATATTTAGTTTATAAACTACTAAATCTCTAAAGGCATTGCCACAATATTTTATATAATCTAAGAATTTCCTTTATGAATCCATTATGCATGTAACTAAAGTAATAAAATATATGTTGCGTTAAAACAATGCTGAAACTTTACATGCTGAACTTATCTGGTTTAATTTGAATTTAAAATCCTAATTTTTCTTCTTTTGTGAATAAAACTATGATATTGTTCTGTGTTGTTATTACTTTTAATTCAAAAGCTGAGTATATAAATTTGAACAAATAGGCTTGTTTTTCAGAAATAAATCCTGTTTTTTCTGCACTGTTAGAATCTTCATTCAAAAATTATGGTAAAATAACAGTCTGTCCATCCAATTAACTGTTACGTTTACTGTAAAAAGCCGTTAACAATTAATATACATAGTTGCCAGCATTTTTGGCAACTTTAACTAAACTTTTTGGCAACTAAACTGACAAAATAACGATTGTTTGGAAGAAATAGTGGGAATATATTACTAAAAATGTGCTTGTATTTCAAACGAAATGTTTCTACTATGAAGTCTTTAAATTGATTCTAATGCGCATGAAAATATGTGTTGTCAGTACAAAAACAAACAGAAATGAACAAATAAACAAATAAAATTATAACAGNACTAAATAAAACTATAACTGTGAGAAAGTAAATAAAAAGTATGACTATAATCACTGTAAAGAAGGTTAACCTCAAATCGTTGCACTAAATTGATAGCAACTAAACAGCAAACTTTTTACTGCTGATTTAATGTGTTGCATGTGATATCTTTTGATCTTTATTTAACTTTAATAATATAACAAATAATTTTGACCAAAAATGATCTTTGTTCAAGCTTGTACCACTGACCCCCATGTAAATATTTAAAATGTTTCTAATTTGCATTAATTTTATTTTTTCTTCCGATTTCTTTCTGTCATTTACATTTGCATAGAAGTAAATAGTTTTCTTTCTTTTCAGGCATGAGCGCATAATAAATATGGATGAAAATTCAAGCGTAATTTTACTTGATGACTAAAGGCTTAGGTAAATATTTTTATGTATTTATATTTTATTATATTTCGATACAAAAATGTAAACGTTAAAAGTTTTTGAAAAATAAAATTTTATTTTATTTAAGAATTAAAAAGAATATTTTTACTACTCAAAATCAAAATTTTTGAAATGTCTGTTGTCATAATAATTATATTTACTTTGCCCATAACACGTGTATTCTGTTAAATTATTTCTTAGAGTAATTGTTTCCAATATATTTCATAAATGGAACACTAAATGATCGACTTTCTTTTAGCAAGACCCCTAGAGTTTATAATTGAAAATCACGAGAAACTGAGAGCATATTAACCAACGAAAAACTATGAATTATTTTAAAAATATTTCACACGAAAGATAGAATTTTTTCATTGTATCGTTTTACCAATGCAGTGTTGGAATGAACATTCTAAAATTATGGTCAAATCCAGTTAATCTGTTAAAGTTTACAGTAAAGAACATATTTAATCCTTACGGTTTTGCAACCATTTTCAACTAGTTTGTTTAAAACGTCATAAAAACAAAACTAAACGTTCTTTTTAATGATTTTTACAACTATCATGGTTTTATGACAGCATCGGTTTTATAAGAGATGTTATACACAGAGAACTCTCCATGTATTGAAGGAAATGGAAATAATACTGTGGTGTCCACGCCGGGACTTGAACCCCCGCCCTGACGGTCATGAGATAGAGGGATTAGCCCTCTCGGTTAGGATAAGTGCCCATCCGCGCAAAATACTTCATTAAGTGGGGCCTATTTGGGTGAGATAAAATTCTGGTTGTTTAACCATATTATGAGAAACCAGATAATAAACGGTTTTCCTCACAGTTAATAGTTTGAATACCATGTTATATATGGGTATTTGAATGCTTTGTTTGAATATGGTAAAATAACAATTAAATCAATTGTTTTTCCGAGAAATTTGTAATAGTGAATTAGTCATAAAATAATGCTTCATCAGAGGTCTGTTTAGAAGAAATTTGGGTCTGTTAACGGACCCTTCACAAAATAACTTGTCATAGAAACGGACCTTTCACAAAATATTTTAACTTAAAAAACGGACCCTTCACAAAATGATTTTTCTTTTAATCGGACCCTTCACAAAATGATTTTTTTTTCAATCGGACCCTTCACAAATTTGTTTCTCTTCATTATTGTTTTGTGAATTGAATAAACCCTTTTACAGGGCAGAAAACAAGAAAGATGGATATAAACGAATTAAGTTTTGTCTTCGGCAGACGATTCATCCGTTATCCGTTCGAAATGAATATTCTGCGTTCAGCAGTATAAGCTAAACTAATTATTTGTATGTTGCATCTCTAATTTAGAAGCAGCAATTATTATTTTTTTTTATTATAATTTTACAGTGCTGAGCATAATCATCTATCTATTCACAATTTAAAAACTCCTGGAAAAAGTTTTTTGCAATAACTGGACCCTATTTGCACAAATTCATAAAAGCAGGACCCTGGTTGAAAGAATGTGAGTAATTTCTTCACAATTTCACAAAAACCGGATCTTTCTCTGGACAGACCCCTCGATAGTAAAATTCACAAATCTGTATTACTTTAGAATCCCGCGATTTTCTTGCAAATTTTCTAATTAAAGTGCTTATTTAGGATACGTCTGAGATATTCAGCCTGGTAACAAAAGTACCTTCACAAAATTATGCACATATTTACAAATTCTTACCGATATAAACTGGCCCGCACCGGAAGATCGGCATTATCTCCCCTCCGCTTAAAATTGTGAAATCCCCCCCCCCCAGGTTGGGAACCACTTGTCTGTTATAAATTCATTAAAAACCGTGCACAATTTATAATACTCGGTTTTGATATAAATGATTGAATTATTTTACGGTACCAAATGTACTTCCAAATACTGATGATAGCATTCTTTGAGAATGAGTGAAATGATGAAAAAATAATTCTTTTTAGAAAGTCGCACTTCTTTTAGGGAATTAAAAGATCTTTTCTGTGAGAAGGAAGACGTCTTTAATACCTTCTTAGATAGAAAAAAAAAGTTTTAAGAGAAGAAATGCTGACACGAGGATTTCTAGTTTGTTATTAAGTTCTCATGTTACGACTTAACGCTTAATTAAACATTTGTGTTTTAAGGATTTTAATTAATTAATTTCTTTCCACTTGTCACTTAAGAGAGAGAAATGGATCTAAATTTCTGGTTTTTACATTTCTATTTTTATGTATAGTTTATATTGTAAGTAATTAATGTTAATAACTGGGAAATTAAGAAAAACATTAAAGTATCGTTTTAGAGTATTTTTTGTAAGTTTCTAAACTGTAACATTGTTATGTATTTATTATTACATTACATTATTATGTTTTAATTTGACATGCGGGTAAAAATATAAAATTTGGAGAGTCAAAATTATTTAATAAATAATAGTATTAATCAATAAAAGTAAGAAAAATAAAAAATGAAATTGAGGGGACGTTTTGGTAGATATTTCATTATTTTTTATAGAAAAATCTAAATTGTGGTCTTTTGCACATCAAATTAATTCCCCCCCCCCCCTTGAATGTAATTTTGTCAAAAAACGTTTTTCTTTGTTGTTTTAATTTTATCAAAAAATCCGGTTCTCTAAATCTTCGAATAGTTAGTTATCACATTTAAATATTCTAAAAATTTTATATTTTTTCTGAAAATCTTTTAAATATATCCATAGTAGCTGAGGCGAACAATTTTATAACCTTTAAGATGAAGGCTATTATTATTCTATAATATTTTAGCGTGAACAAAAATCCATTTATTATTATAATTTTTTTTCTTACCAATTTTACATCTGCATCAGCTTTTCTCACACGTCCGTATATAATAGAATAAGAAACCCTTTTTTCTAAGCATGTTTCAGAACATTTTGATCAGAATAATAAAAAGATAAAATTTACCGGAAAAAAGAAGCATTTTTTAATATGGAATCTTACACACAATGATCGCAACTATTAGCATTGCTATTACTTTCGAAATAAGACTTTTACTAAAAATTTCGTCTTTTGAACTTGGTTTTGTATATAAGTTATATCCTTTACACATAATCGATTTAATATTAAAAATATTCGAAATAAAATAGAACAAAACCACCCAGTTCACAATCGTGCTTCTTTTTAAACTTAAAAACAACTCTTTCTTTTTCCCACAATGTCTTTTTCTGACCATTCCCAAATACCGGATAACCTGTGTTTTTGGCTCCTATCTCACCTTCGGACTACAATCTACATTTAGGTACCAGTCTCACGTACCGCTGGCAATAATGGTGGCAATTATACAAAGATATGCCGCAGTTCGAAAATAAATTAATGTGCATACTAAAAGCCCTCGCGGCTCTTTTAGCCCCTATTCTGTTGCTCCAGCGATTAAATTACAGATCCGAGAGAACGGCCAACCATTCCTGGTGCATTAAAGCAGCAGCAGCAGCGAAACACAGAGCCGTACTTAACGATTCCATGCTGTATTTTGACGCAGAAACCGTGCGAACACATGAACCGCTGTCTTCAGTTTATGTCTGTTCCGTTGGCGTTTTAAGCTTCCGAAAAGGCCGATCGCTGGCGTATTTTCATTATTCATTAAAGGGTGTGTGAGCGATAAGGGTGTCGATGGATTGAGCCCTTTTATTAATCAAATTGTTAGAAGAATTCCCTTTTCCGTGAGGGTTAATTTATTGGGTATATATTTAGTTAAGACTGTTGCTTTTATGTCTTTGACGTTGCTATTTGCTTTGTCATTTTTGGAACTCGGTAATTCAACTTTGAAAATTATTTTTCTTTCGAATTAGTTGTGTTATTTTATAATTACATGAAATATTATTAATGGTAGTAAATTAATGTTTGAGCATTGTAAGAGCATAAAAGCTTCTTTAATCTGTTAAAAAGCTATTAAAATCTATAGTGGAATAATGAAGAAATAAGAATTAAAAACATCAAAACTTGTTTTTTTTTTTATTATTTTTTTTACAGGAAATTGAAACGACTTGAAAGTCAATTTATCGCAAAAGCACTTTCCAATTTTAATTGGCTATGAAATGGTTTTAATTCTGCCCTCTATAATGATTTGTCAAATTTTAATAAGTTTTTTTTCCTCGCTTTAATATTAATTGATGATCCTTAGTGTTAAATTTATATTTTTATGGTTTTATTTTTTGGCAAGCATTCTAAATATTATTCAGGTATATTAAATTATTATTCATGTATATTCATATATTATTCATGTACTTTCATTATAGTATTCATGTATATTAAAGTGTTCGTAGAAAGAAATCGGATTTTTTTAAATTTATTGTTTCTTATTTAAAGAACTCATTTACGCCAAGCAATAATAGGAAAGCAAAATAATGAGTTAATTTGAATGTTTTCAATTAAGATTAGCGATGCGACATGCTTAAACTTTAGTTTACTCAAAATTTGTATCTGTAATTCATTGTTTTTTCCCCAAAACAATTGCCTAAATTGCATTAAAATTAACTCCCATTTCAAACAGTTCAAAAACACGCTGGCGGAGGGAGAATGCTACGTGTTATTTTTGTTTTGAGTAAGGAGACTCAAAATTCCTCTTAACACTAACGGGCCATAATAGTAAGAATACAGAAGGAAAAATGCTGCAACGTTAATTCTTAATATCAATCTTAAATTTTTATTCATTTTTTGAAATATTTTGTTTTTAAGTTAATTATTCTACGGATATTAGTCTTATTGTTTAACTTATTTTATTCCAATACTATCATTTAAACTTATGTTCTATATAAAGGCGATGAATCGAATCACCATTAATATTTGCTGAGAAAAAAAAAAGAGATTTTATACTCCATCCCGTTCGATTAACTTCTTTCTTCCGTTTAAATAGATCTCTACTGCGCAAGCTCCAATTGGTAAATAATTACTTCGCGCATGCCCAATGTGCATCTATTTTAGTCGTTAGTAGGTCGGTGCAGCTCTCTATAGCATCGATAAGATTCCCTACCTTTTTTTTTTTTTTTT